TGCCCTCGACTTGACTGCTAAGACCAGTGCTCCGTAGAACGTCCCCACGGGATCAGTAGCGTGACGCCTCCTGACTTGGTTATCTTAAGAAAGTAATAAACTTCACGCGCTTCGCAAAGCCCATTTATATCTTGATCGAATTTAAGTGTGTAGAGTTCTCTCGAACTCCAGATCAACTCAAATCTAGTTGCTTCCTTAGAGGGGACGGCTTCTAGTAAGGGATTATTCGGCTCCAGAGTGAGGGTTCCTTAGTTGACTTCTTCACGAAGTTAGACGAGCCACTAAGATTGTGGTACGAGTTCCTAGTGATTAAGTTCACTTACAATATCGTAGCTTGGCCCAGAGTTTGGTCGAGGACTTTACGGCGTCACAGCAGCTAGTGCCAGAGTTTGCCTAGGGTTGTTGACAAACCTCGAGATTACTATTCTAGCTAGAGCCAGAGTTTGCCTAGGAGAATCTTAGTTTCGTTGTATTGGTTTTGGTTTTGGTTAATTGATTTGGACATACACACCTGGTTCCCTCGTACACTCGTACACCCCAACTAGGCTTCTCTCGACTTAGTTCTAAGAGTTGTCTAAGCTTAGTTACCCACGTTAGCGCTACAGTCTTGAACCTGGAGCAGTCGCGCGCGTACATCCGATATTACAAAGCTTTCCCTCGGGGAATCTCTGACAACCCGCCCTCGCTCCCTTACATATTGATAGTCTGGTTAGGTGCGGTAGTGTTTTTGTTAGGTTGTTTTATAGCACCTTTCGCATACCTACACGTAAATACCCAAATAGCGGTGAGTGGGATTTGGTCACAGGTAATGGCCTGGGACCTCGCAGTGTATGAGACGCTGCCTCCGCATTGGGACTCTGTCTCATGCGGGATGTGTTGATGGGTGTCAGTGTAGTTACTGACACTGGTGCATATTCCTGTTGAAATACAGGAACATGACGGAGTGACTTGGTCATCCCTTGTGAATACTGTTTGTCCAACAGTGATTGTTGGACTGACGGTGCATTGGGCACAGTCTCACGCCATTGGCATACCAAGTTGTTTGTCTCGGTATGAATATATGGTGTTGCGTTGTGCAATACCGGTGGTGTGACAGCAGGCCGTCTCGGTGTGGGTGCAGCAATAGTGATTCTATTGCTGTTTCTCGATGAAGAAGATCTTTCTTCATTAGATCGGATGCTAGATGCATCCCATTTCTCAGTTATATTGAGAATACGATTGAGTACTTGCGTACTCTTGTCAAGTGATGCCGCTACATCTCATAGCGCAGAAGAAATCTCACTTAAACCCTCTCGGGTTGGCTGTTTCTTACGAATAGTCATAGACTGTTCATTAGGTGGACTTTTGTCCTGCCTGTAGTGCCGTCCTTCAGACGCACGCACGGAATGAGTCACTGATGCGACTGAATAGATTGATTGTGGTGACACGTCACCACGAATGGAAGGTGCGCGATCGCGCACGCTCCGATATGACTTCTCTGATTGATTTCGAGAGGTCATTGAGACAGCAAATGATATAGCGGGACAGAAAATGGAGCGGGTTTTTGTATAGCTTGTGATGTGAGTTGGAATAGTGGTTGTTATACTTGGTAGTATAACTGTTTTTAGCTTGTTAAACTAATAGCTTTGTGTTATTCACACAATAGTAATTTTTTTGATGTTCAAAAAAGTATAACACGCCCTATGGGCAAAGTCCTTAAGAACACCGGTGAACACGACAAATAGGATACTATTGTGTGTATGACGGTGTAAAAGACTAACTAGACTCTTAAGTAATTGTACAATACTTATAGTAACGGATTTATTATATAATTAATAATAAATAGAATGATAAGATAGACCGTTTGGTCTATCGGCGGCGTCTAGGATGACCGTATCGCCGGATACGGTCAGTGGTGATTATGGAGAGGTGGAGGCGTTACACTCTGGGGCCACCCTTCTTCTGAGTACCACACTCATCCAAGGCATCAATTATTATAACTACTGGCTTCTGTTCAATAACCCTTTTGGCAGGATATAAAATGAGCTTTTTCCCACTCTTCCTCCAGTGTGGAACTGTAGAGGATATATGGATATTTGTCCATTATTTCAATCAAGCACTCTCCATAGGCTGGTGAATGTAGCCCCAAGTTATAAGCAATACTATGTATGGCCCGACTTGGAGTGCGCTCAGCATTAAATGTACAGTCAAAGCTGAAGAACGCTCCCAGGCACTCTGATTTTTGAAATATCCTCCCCATGGTGTGGCTGATGGCAGACTTCCCTGTACCAGCAGGTCCCTGAAGAAAAAATATGCGGGGAGGATTATCAACTGGACTAGAAATCCAGTCTGTAATATTTTTGATGATTTCTGTCCTGGTTCCTTCCAAACAGAACTTTTCAGGAGAAATGTAGGCATTCATAATAGGATTCAGCTTCTTGGAAAGCTTTTCTTGAATATCCACGGGAACTATAATTTTTATTTTATGATGGAGCTGTTGCGAGAGCCTATTTCACAACTACTCACCTTGCAAAACATTGTATTGGTTTCCTTGTACATTGTAGAACTGTCCTCCACCGATATTGAAATGGTGAGCGTTAGGGAACATCGACATTCTGGTTAACCGGTTTTGACAACGATGGTTGCGGTAGAAGATGTATCTGTCACATCGTCAGATTTCATCAGACGCGTTCAATTAGCTTAAGGGCAGGTTGATTTTACGGCATGTGAGCATCGTCGGTCTACGGTAATCTCTATCCGCGCTTAAAGCAACCACGCATGTTCGTTTCTCTTGCAAGACGGGGCTCGTTGTTGGATGTCATCAATGTCGATACGTTATTACCTGCTCTCCATGAATTCCCTAGAGCCCATCGCATCTTGAATCCTTCAACAGAGCTTTTTTTCTAAGCATCTTTTCGGCGTGATTTGATTCTGTTACACCTACCGCGCATGCCTCAACCGTATGACTACGAAAATCGATATCCGGCTGCGTATGCGTCCTTATGCTCAGGTTTGATCTCGATATCACCAACAGGTGTTGGTACCTGTAGCTATAGGCTGTCGGAATAGTGTTCCTGAAGAGGACAATGGGCTAAAGGTCATTTGTTCATTGCAACGGCTTTTCAGCGAGATGCGAGTGCAAACTGTTGATAACGGTAGATGAAAGCTGGTGCGCGGGTAGTACGGGTAATACTATGTGTAACATCGTTGTATGTGGTTACTTCTATGGGTCCGAGCTCGACGATTACCGTCACCCAAAGACCCAGGCGCAGCATAGACTCGAGCCAGTAATTTCTTGTTGACACTTTGATGACTGACGATCAGCCGTGTCGCCTCTGCCAAGGGTGTGATTTCACATCACAACTCTACAGCAGGGACTGGTTCGAGTCTAGGCGCAGCATCAGTATCAATTGCATACCGGTACTCCCTCCCTTCTGCCTTCTGAACCTAGTCTCCTCAACGTTCCCTGCTCATAGGTAGTGCGGACAGTGAGTTTTAGTTCTTGGTCATGGATAGCAGGATGTCCTCAAGTCGGAATAGTATCAGGAACAATGAAGTTGGGAGCAGCGTTGTCGTCACCTTCTTTGTCACCCAGGAACTCGATTCGTGTCTATATCAGAAGTAGCGAGTTTCAGGATATGCTTTAGGTACCTAACCACGAAATCAAAGAAAAGCAACGTTGAAAAAGTGGTGATAAACTGAAAAAGAAATGCTCACAGCCATCCGTCCGCAGCCCACTCAAAAGCCAATCACGCTCGAACGATGGTTCGAGCCGAGTTCCACTCTGACGATACCCTCTTTTCGCGAATACGAACGAAGCGGCTGTAGATCTGCGGTATGTATTGCAGGGAATTGTGAACGTACGGCGGATGATGGAAGATTTTAGTCGATCTCGTTGTACAACTCGTAAAACAAGGCTCCAGCCATATGCATGGAGCGTGATCTGAAAACACAGCGATTAGAGGAAAGCAGCAGAAAAGGCAGAAACGTACCTCATTACAAATTAATAACCAGCATTCCAGAAATAACAGCGCCGTGAGGATAGACGAGTTACAAATCTCTCGTTTATCCAGAAACCCTCGGACTCTTGGGAATCGGAAGAACCGCTACTACTACGATCGCTCCAAAGTTTCTTTGCGGCGTCCATCAGCTCATACAACTAGCTGTTCCGGGAGCATCTCTTCCAACAAGCCCAGATCTAGCTTCTTCCCGTCCAAACTCTCTCGTGTGCTGGATGCGGGTAGCACCTGGAAATGGATTAGTGATGGCTGTGTGTCTTCAGAATTTTGTGTTTCAATTGTGTGGTTTGGTGCCGAGTAAAGTAAAAGGATAGGACAGGACAAGGACGAGAAGAGGATATAAGGTCAAGCAGACAAGACAATGGATTATATGCTTTCACTTAATCGTCTCCTAAAGACCACATTTTAGCCCGTAATTACGACAAGACCGTAGGATTTGGCGGAAAAGTTGTCTGAAAAGCAAAGGCAAACATACATCTTTGGGAGTAACAGTAACGGCGCAGCGCTGCAGCATTGGCTTCTTGGAGGTTCAACGTTCAACGTTCAATATTTAATATCAAGATATCAATGCCTTGCTTGTTAGCGATGCGCTCGTTGGATAGATTGACGGTGAAAAAGAAGAAACGCGACGGGCGCTTGAATTAGAACCATCGGCCCGGAGTTATAAAGCAAGTCAGCAAGTCATCGATACATATTCTGCAAGTATCCATCTCAGGCTGTTGTTTTCCTCCGAAACTGCGTGTTCCTGATACACGGCGCAACAGGTTCTGGGCTGCCTCAGCTCTCTGCGATTCTTTCCCAGCATAGTAACTTCTTGGAGGTACACGCCCACGTTCAACGGATTGCTTGTCAGCGATGCGCTCGTTGAATACTAGTACTTGCATCGATGGCAAATCGATGGTGAAAATGAAAGAAATAAACAACGCGTCCCGCTAAATCTGAGGTTCCTCAGACAGAGACGAAGGAAAGAGAATAAAAAGCAGTCCTACATCTTGGGCTACATACACCGTTCGGGAATCGAACCCGAGCCGCTTGCTCATGCAGGAGGTATTTTCCCGGAAGATATATGGAAGGCAAGCATGATAACCACTTCACCAACGGTGTACACTTAATTTTGTTTACATGTGCTAATCTATTGGCTGATTTAAGCCAAAAAAGATTATATTGATGATACCAATTACACTCCTTTCCCTTCTCCCTTCCACAAGTTCCCCGAGCATACGTAGCCACACATGATGTCTATAACCTCAGGCACAAGCAAAAAACAGAAATATTAACAGGTTCCATTGAATATTTCAAGATAAGTGTAGATATCCCGCGGCACATAACCAGAACTGCATGATAGTAGCTTTATGCAAGAGCTTCTCTGTCAACAGCTCAACTATGTTTTCACTTGTCAGTTGAGCGCTTGACACATCCTCGAGGATGTCCAGGTGCTCGATCGGAAGCATAAGGCACTTCTCCTTCAGGTCCTTACCCAGAGTTTCAACCATCTCCTTCGGATTTACAGCACCCATAACAGCCATAACAGTCAGAATGTCCTCGTCTTCTGGGCCCTCATCTTCATGTGTACCGAGGTGTTTTATGACTCGCTGCTTTTTGACCCAATGGTTGAGACGAGCGTTGAGCATAACTCCCGCTTGCTGGTATTTTAGACTGGAAACAGATTAGCATATCAACTTGAATACCAGTTAAACGAACGATAACTTACCCCTGAACAAGCAGTTCACGGCTCCAAAAGGGAAGTTCAATCACAGTCGGCTTCTTGCACGTTGCCCAATACTGCTGCGTGACTGAGGTCGATCAGACGATGAAACAGTGTGGGATATCTAGCCTATGGTAGACTCCGGTGCATCCTGATCGAAATCTGTAAGGACCCAGAGAGGGGGTTTGAAGGTGGCCCATGGTTCCGAACCATTGGGACCCACCCATTGGATAGTCTTTTTGGGTTTAGGAAGGGAGCCGAGGTGGAAATTTATTAGGTCCCCAGGCTCATAGATGCCACCGCCGTAAAAGAGGAGTTTCTCAGATTTGGTGTACAGAAAGATGAGAGAAGCGCGCAGGCCTGTAGGGGGATCTTCCTCCGAGTTGGGTGTCAGGCTCAAGAGTATAATCAGCAGGTAGGTCAGAAACATGCTCTTCCCTGTAAAACGATGGATCCATTCAGATACATCGAGTAAAACTACTAAGATACAAACACATACCAATACCCGCCTGGCCCGTAATGAATACTCCTGTGCCGGGGCTCATCTTATAAACCTTCGCAATGCGGCTCACAATCGCTGGGTACTCGGGCAAGACTAGAATTTCGCCGGTGCGAGTTTTGTGTAGCACACGCCGCAAGATGTAATCCCGGAAAGAGTTGTTTGGCAAGACGGGTAAAGATTTAAGGCAGTGAAATCCTGGCAGTTAGCGAGTTCGGCGATGTGGTCCATTTCATGATACCACAGGCTTGTCTCCGGTTCCAATTGGCGCCATTGTTGGCGGTCCCAAGTCGACCAGTCATAGTCGTGTGTGTCGGGTTGAAAGCAGCTGGGAGGGCGTTTCGGCAGACATCGAAAGCTGGGACTGCGACGGTGTCAGTGATGATGGATGTTGGAAAACAAAAAGAAGAATTACCAAAGGGCTCGAGGCCGCAACATAATGTAAGCTGCACGCGGATAGATTTTAGACCCAAAAGGAAGGTGTGCCACTCCCCATCTTGTTCACCGTCATTGGATTTGCCGTCCCTGATGTAATAAAGATGAGTCCTGCAGCGACATTGGGTACAGGTAC